GTCTACCTAGACACGTTTAGAATTAATATCACTTAGTTTCTGGTAATGGAACGAATTGAAAACTTTCCACGTTAACTTTGTAGTAGATATCAGGGCACGAATCTACTTGGATGCAAATTAATCCCTTCACCCTTCCCTTCTTTGCACTATTTTCTCCCTGTCCCCTGAGGAAAGTCTGAAAAGTTGTACACTGGTTGGTTAGTTGGGCTCAGAGTTTTACGGCAAATTAAAGAGGCCTCAACGCAATTCGTGAAAGGACCGTGCACAGGGCAGCAAAGAAAGGCGGCCTCTAGAAGAGAATCCTCAGTTTCCTTGAAAATTCCAAAAGCACTGACAGCTATGAACTGAAAGATATTAACTTGTATTTTTTTGTGTGTCAACGAACTCGTGTCAGTGAATTCTTGACAAATCGTAACGACAAACACAATAAAAACGGGGAGAAAGAGTTTGTTTATCTGTGCTGCACATAAAGAGTACTGACTTCATCATCGCAAAAAAATGTTTTTTCTTGCTTATTCTCGACATCTACCCCCAGGGGGGACTCCCAATAAAGTCAAGGCAGGGGTGGATCCAGGATTTTTTGTAGGAGGGGTGCACCACCACAAAGGAATGGGGTAACTGACTGGTGAGGTAAAAGAATTTAAAAGCGAATACGGAGAAGGCTTCATCTCAGGGGGGTGCGCACCCCCCCGCACCCACCCCCTGCACCCCCGCTCGATCCGCCCCTGTAAGGGTAAGAACATAGCAACTCGAGCAACTCTTGCACTTGTACTCTCCAAACTCCCGCATGCTTGCGCAACTCGATAGCCGTAAGGTAAGTTTGAACTAATTCCTAATAAAAGAGAATGGACCAGTAACAAGTCAAATGAAAGGCGATCAATTCTTTTAGCCAGAACTGCCAAATTTGAAAGAATAGAAAAGGATGTTTATCTCAAATAAAGTGTTACACTGTCGATCTATCACCGTTTGAATCTAAATGAGTTACCTGACCGAAACTGTTGCACAGGATATAGATAAAGGAAAGAGGGGCACGTACAAAGGTAATCTGCGCGCGTTCGAAGGAAAGCGTCAGTGTTTTTCGATATTTTAAGACGTCAACATGCGCACAAAAAGCAAAACTGACAGTGAATTTTCTCGCGTTCCCTTCTGTGAAATTTCGTAAAATCTGGCAGACTGGTAGTAAATATTTCACTTAAGCATCACCCAACTAGTGGACTAATGCAAATCCTGCATTTTAATTGGCTACGCTACTAGAGGACTATTAGTAATAGTCCTCGAGTGGCGAAATTAGCGCAATCGAGCGTGACGCTTTCTTTCGTTTTATTCCCAAATAGATATTTCTTCAACTTGCATTTGCCAACTTTATTATCGCGTTTTCTGTCCTACTAGTTGGCCCTTCGCTCTCAAGGGCCACGGGTCAATAGCCCATTCGGCTTCGCCTCATGGGCTACGGGTCTAAGCTCGTTTTTCAGGGAATTTATAAGACTATTTTTTTTCGCAGCGGTAAAAGACATAAATTTGCAAAACTCGAAAAAACTTCTGTACAAACCCTACTTTTTCCTCTTTAAAATTCGTATCCCGCAGAATGCAATGTGCTGTGAAATTTTTGTAAGATTTCACCGGAGGAAATTCAAGAAAATCACGGGTAAAGCTATAAAATAATTTAAAAAACACATTTGTTTGGGCATTTATAATTCAAGACTACAACCCTAAATTTTAAGAGAGAGGATAGTACAACATTATTTAATCATTGCTTATTACATGTAGTAAGTTTGAGAGGACTGGGTGTAAAAACGAATGCAAAAACAGTATTCAAAACATGACACTTCCGCGCGCAACGCCAAAAATGGTTGCCCTATGGAGCCATTAAGACTTTATAATTTATATATCAGCAAAATTCTTTGTTTCGTAGTTTGGTTTTGATGGCACTCACCCCCTCCAATTCATCTTTCTGCAAAAGAACATTTGATGTAAAAAGCCTTGACTCATGAGTTTTGCTGTTACTTCCCTCCATCGCCAAAGAAACAGTATCTGACATAACACAAACTGGAAACCTCCTGGGGGGGGGGGTACCCCCTTATATGGACTATACAGGTATGTGGGGCCCCAAATGGTGTGGGGTTTTAGCCATTTTAGTATGAGCATTTTAGTATAGGGTATGGTTTTGCACTCTAGTCTTGGATAATTGGGTATGTTTTTAGAATAAGCTACTTTTTCAGGTCATAAACAGGGTAGGGAAAATCGCAGATTTTGGCCATAAATAGGTTGAGGGTTTTGGGAAGCAGGCTGCACACCCCCACCCAATTCTTCTGGAAGTACCCCCTCACGGGGGGTGTGGGGGGGGGGGGTGGAAACACAGTTCCACCCGAATTTCCGCCTGTCTTTCAGTTTCTTCGGTCAGGGAAAAGCTGAGCACTAGCCTTAGGATAGTACGTGATGTAAGGCTACAGTAACTGTACCAGGGCTCGCGACGTTTTGGCGGGAAGGTACGCGACGCTTCCAAGCGAGGCTGAAAGGGTCTGAGATTCTTGATCGGACACTTGATATTTTTTTTCCAGATCTTCTAAGTAGTATTACGAGAGCCAACAGATGTCATTCCATGGCAACAGAAACCATAATTCTTTGTCTGACCCTCCGATAAACAACCTTGTTCAACAGCTTGGCAAATTCAGACAGGAAAACACTGAAACGACCGTCAACAGTAGTTCGACTCGCGGCTCGTTTTCATCTGCAAAACACAAGCATCAAACTCCTTGTCGGGGGTAAGAGAAACTTTTATTTGTCGAGATCCCTTTTTTACAAAGCCCTGTGTAATCAGTTAAACCTTCTGTTTGCAGCAAATTCTTTAATTTCTTTTCCAAGAGGAACCTCAAGGAACAGGTACGTGAGAGTTCAACTGAAGTAAAAATCGCGTATCATGTATCCGATAGATCGGTCTGCGAACGACCGAGAGTCGATCGACAGCCCAACGATATACCCGTCGAACGTCCATCGATGTCGGCCGATATATCGACCGTGACACCGATAGTTGACCGGTAGTTACTACCGGTCAACTACCAGTGGCATATCGGTCAACTGTCGGTCCTGTTTCAGTCCATAGTCGAGCGAGAGTCGACTTCTAGCCCACTGATATAGACTATCCACCGTCTATCAGTTATTAGTATCACCCAACTAGTGGACTAATGCAAATCCTGCATTTTGATTGGCTACGCTACTAGGGGACCATTAGCAATAGTCATCGAGTAGCGAAATTGGCGCCATCGAGCGTGACGCTTTCTTTCGTTTTATTCC